TGATGTTGATAGAATGTAAGGGTATTTGGTCAAGGCGTGTTTCTCATATCAGAGGTGAGTGGTCGAAGGTTCAAATATCAGATATCAACTTTTGTGAATCATATTTAGAATAATAGGGATATGTTCATACGCGGGTCAATTTTCTAGTGTAAATTCACCAAAGAGCAGTTTACCCACAGGCTCCAGTGATTTCTGATACTTAACCCTGGCAACTTAATCTTGTCACTACATACAAAAGTAATGTTTGACTACCCTTGTAGTAATGCTGCATTAAAAAAAAAAAAAAAAAACATATTTTTTAATTCTGGAAAAAAAGTGACAACCACGTTGGACAGTGAACATTGTTAAAACGCATTTAAAGTGGAACTCTACTTTAAGGCAATCTAGTAGACTTTAAACGGCGTTTTGCAAGTTTTAAAACATATTGCATTGTTGAAAATAGAAAGTTTAGAAATAAATTTCTTTTCAGATTCTGTTATTTAGCAGTCAAGGGAAACAACTTAAAACTTTATATTAAAAATTGCATAAAACAGCTGTAGATTACATTGTTCTAAAATAATAAAAAAATATTTTTTTGTTTTTAATACAATTTATGCACTTTTTATGTGTTACTCAAAATATATTATTTTAAATGTGTAAATGTTTAAAGTTTTGAAATATGTTTCAATTGTACCCTTAGAAAAATGAAGATATATTTCTTTTTAAAATAAAAAACTCTTGATTGACTAATTATTACTTCTGCCTTCATTCATGGTAATTTATTTTATGCAAAAAAAAAAAAAAAAAAAAAAAAAAAAAAAAAAAAAAAAAAAAAAAGGTTGATTAAATAATGATTCCTTTTCAATTAGAGAGAACAACATCATAGAGGATGGGGTGTGGAAGGGGGTGAGGATCATGTCAGTATCACTATATATTGAATTAGCTGAGTTGAATTATGTCCAGTTTGGGTTATATCAATATTATCGGTTGCATATTTTAATGACATCTCACTTAGAAATAAAAGAGTGAGAACGGCCGATAACGCTTAAATTTTTTGCAATGCACAGTTTTTATTTAATACTTGGAATTGTATAATTTCAGAAACAATTAGAATTTAACATTTCACATTAGATAGAAAATGGACATTTAAAACAAATGAGTTATTCTTTTGATAATTCCTTGAGCAACCATTTTGTTGTCTTTATTGTTAACGGTAAAAGATAATTATTTGGTACCGTATAATAGATATAATAGTAAAATCAGTGAAATGCTGGTATTCAACCGGTAAGAGGGTCTGTGCCGCTTCTTTACCGGGAATATAGATTCTAGTATTGTATAACTAGAGGTAATATTATTAAGGTCTGATGACTAAGGGTCAATTCAATGCCCAGAGTTTACAGCCTTATTAAAATGATAATTGGTTCTTACCAGGTCCGATGACCTCTTGTCTCAGGCAAGGGTTTACGGCCGGTGAATAAAATAAAATAGCAGGTCCGATGACTACGGGTCAACTCAATGCCCGCAGTTTACGGCCTGTAGTAAAATAGAATGAGGCTGTATATAATATATGATATCTACTGCTCCGTGGCTGATACCCGTGCAGGATAAAAGTAGTACAGCAGGTAACAAATATCTACTCAACTGCCACGTGGAATTACATCACAGGCAGGAATAGTTTAGGTCAGATAAATATTTAAATGCCCTGTGGGCTAAGGTACGGGCAGTGTAAAGTTAAGTAATTCAGGTAAGTCATCGACTAGCACAATGTAAAGTAACAATGTATAGTGTTTATGAAAAAATACATGACAGCAAGATAATATCTATATATGGTATTTATTAAAACTCCTTGATACACTGTTAATCAATTATGCATATAAAAAGTAAAGTTAAGTAAAAGTAAGAAATAACTAAGTAAAACCAAACCCAGAAAACACGTGGAGGTCGGGCCGACGGCCCCAACGCCGCGTGCGACACCACCAGCTGAGCTCAGTCCTGGAAGAGTGCGAGATTTCTTTGTTGCATCCCCTTATATGCCTCAACATTGGCGGTGTGTCACGTGGACAAACTAGCCAACTAGAGAGGGGCCTGCGAGGGGGAGGAAAGATAGGAATGTACGTAGTTGTATAGAGGGGGGGGGGGGGGGGAAAGTATAGAGCAGGTAAGGGGTGGTGTAAGAATAACGTGGAGCTAGGCCTAAACGGTTTTACCGTCACACCCCCTTTCCTCGCTAAAATTTCGTGGTAACGCAATTTTCAGCGGACCAGAAATAAAACAATATCTTTTCATGTGTCTTTCAAAGTATAGTTAAGCAAAAAATGTAAATAACAATGTCTTTAGACGAAAAGTGAATAACATTGAAACATAGGCCATTGACATGAAAAATGTGTATACAGTTGCCATGATAGGCGAGTACAACATCAATTACAACATTGTGATATGCCATAAAAGGGCATAGTAAACAAACATTTTGTTGTGGATGTAAAGTGTAATAAGACAACAGTGAATAATGACATTTTTTTCAGTATCAGTTTACATTGTATTCAGGAAATTAACTAACGCTAAGTTCTGTTTTAGAAGTATGACAACCAGGTACGCAGTAATTGACTGTGCTGTTAGTTGGGGACGATAAGTCTGATTCGGTCCGCAAGGGCGAGAACCAGTTTTTGGTGCTAAGGGTGATAATTGTAACTTGCTCTGTTGATTATCTACCCCTTGTATAGCTGCGACAGGTAATTCAGGACCGAGAGCGATCCTCCTCTTGTCGGCGAATTTTTTTCCATTAGCGAGGGGCTGGTGAGGTTTAGTATGTAGACCTATGGTGGGTAGAACCATGGGGCCGATAAGGTTGACAGTGGTTGGTTTGTTGTTTTGTCTCCTGGGCTCTTGACGTGCTGTGTAATTAAGGTCGACTGGAGCATCCGGTGCTGTGTTTATTGATGATTCAGTCGGGGCAGGGGAAGCAATTTTAACGAAGTCGCTTTTATGGCTCAGTGTAGCATCATGAGTGTTATCTTCTGCCTGTGGCAGGGTTGGTGTGTAGGGAGTAGCGGGTGTTGGTTTAGGTCCCAATATGGTCATGTTTTTCAGCTGCTCAAGCATTGCCTGCTCGGCTATCTTTAAGCGTGATTCCGTTTCGGTCCTTCTATTTATACGTCCCTTCCAAATAAAAATTCTTTCAGCTATTGACACGCTGGTATTTTCTAAAACTTCGTCTTCTTGTTTTTCGATTGATTTGATACTATCCCATTCCGATCTTTCAAAATTATTGAAATTGATCTCGATAGCCACTTTAATTGCTTGTAATTTAATTTCTTCCTCCCACTGTGGCTCATTTAATCTTTCTTCCTCGTCTAATCTTCTACGTCCGTCTTCTTCCTGCAAGTCCGCTAAGTCCTCTATGTATTTTTGTCTAACAAATGCACTGAGTGCCGCCCCTTCGTGGCCATAGTCAATGGCGTACCTGATAAGGGCGGGGATGCTAGTGGAGCCACTCATTATGCAGCCTGGCTAGGACGTTGACACGAGTAACGTGACACGCGTGTGCTCAAGCCGTGTACCGGGTTACGCCTAACAACAAACTAACTAAAAGTAAAGTATTTGACAGACTAACAGAAGTAAGTCTATTCTACAAATAATAGACTACTAAGCTAACTACAAGCATTAGAGACCAGTTTAAAATTAAAACTAAAGGAATCAACGTAGTAAGTCAGAGTCAAAAGCTAAAACTTGACACTTAGCTACAATTCCAGTGGTCTTGCCCTTCTTGTGCAGCCGTCAGTTGTACAGAATACTTCTTGAGCAGGTAGCAATAACACACAGAAATATTTTTTTCCAAAAATTCAAAGTAAACAATAGCAGTAAAATTCAAATAGATATGTGAAACAGTAGGATTTATTCAAATACGAGTGGCTAACTCGTGTCTAGTATTTAGTTTGACGAGCCCCCATGTTAACGGTAATAGATCCTGGAAGAGTGCGAGATTTCTTTGTTGCATCCCCTTATATGCCTCAACATTGGCGGTGTGTCACGTGGACAAACTAGCCAACTAGAGAGGGGCCTGCGAGGGGGAGGAAAGATAGGAATGTACGTAGTTGTATAGAGGGGGGGGGGGGGGGAAAGTATAGAGCAGGTAAGGGGTGGTGTAAGAATAACGTGGAGCTAGGCCTAAACGGTTTTACCGTCACATTTATGTACACAATGAAAGTACTTACAAGAAATAAAACTTAATAAATACACACACACGTACACGCGCACACGCCTCATGCAAGCGTACAATCGCACACGCACACACGCACACGCACATATGCACACACGCACACACATCTTAGAGTAAGTTTTTATACAGTGTATGCATGTTGTTTTATTTTGCATAAATGCTGTTAAATCTTTGTAAAGATTTGACCGCTGTTCGTACCTGGAAAACATGCAACGCAACAGTCCTGAACCTTTCGTACCAAAATAAAAAAAAAAGTTATCGAACATTAACTGAATCGCTTCAAGATCAACACAATGTAGCTGTTTACCATGAAATTAGCTCACCTACACTATTTGAAGAGTAAAATCAACCGTTAGAACTTCAGTGATTAGTTAAGTTATAAAATAAAAAATAAAATAAAAACAACAACCACTTAGAGTTTTACATCAATTATTTGAAACAAATAAATCTTCTTTCAATGCTCCATCTTTTTCTTGTGAATTTCTCTTATAGTGTTAATATCACACTTTGCTTTCATATAGTCATGTTGTACTAATATTAAAATGTACATCATGTACGTATAGTATTAGCGTGAGTTGTACTACGGCACTGCTGTAACTGGATAGAGTTAAATAATTTTTTTTCAATTAGTTTCTTCTCATCAATTTGTTTTTTTAAACATATGGGAAACCACTTTAATCTATTATATCTATATTATATAAAACCGATACCCCAGTTGTAGTAAAACAATTTTGCAAATCCTTGTTCATTTTATTTATTATTATTGTAACAAAATAATATTTAAAATGTAACAAGCTTTCTAGTGCTAATAGTTTATTACACCAAGCAAGCCTTTGATATCTAAGTAGTTGGTAGCCAAAATCAACTCAAACAAGGTGCTCTGGTCAACTTTAAGAAATTCTGTATCCCAGGAACAAACATCATCTTTTCTTTTTTCTTTGTTTTCATCATCTTCAGGTGGTGGAGGGTCATCCCGATGGAAGTTACACCATTGAATTACCTTCTTTAATATAGCAGCATTAACATTAGGTAGTGGAACAGGTTTATCTTCATCCTCAACCATACCCAAATATTCTAACATGGTTTTAACAGTGACAGATTGTTTAGCTATCTCAACATTTATTGATTTTACAATTTATATTATATTCAAATGCAATTTTTTTTTCATGTTCAATGTCAAACAGCTCCTCACGCCAAAGAGGACGCTCACCATCATCCTCCTCATCTAACTCTTCCTCTTCCTCAGCGTCGCGCCCGTCTACTACGCCCTCCGCATCGGTCCACACTTCAACGTCAACAGAAACAAAACACTCGACTGGTTGGTGTATGCAGATTACGGCACCACTGTTGAAAACGTTTCTTTTTCCATCACGGTCTTTGCGCAGCTATCCTCCTGCGCATGCGTTATAACCTGCACGGTCGTTTTAATTATAAATCTGACCCGGATGTCCAAATGGCGCAAGACTAATTTAGAACCTTCCTCAGCGAAACAGATGATGTCTAGTCGCGATAAACGGGTTGTACTGATGATAGCCTCCATTTCTTGTATCTTCATCGCGTGTTTCCTACCCAGTGCAATCAACCTGACACTGATGCTGCACTTTTCCCCCAACTACAGCATCGTGGGCCCGTACCAGAACAGTTTCCAGGTGTCGTGGTCCATCCTCAACACGCTGGAGGCCACCAACAGCTCCGTCAGCGTGCTGGTGTACTACAAGATGAGCAGCAAATTTAGGCTCGTCTTTAGGGAAACGTTTTGTACAACACGTTCAACTGGAAACTAAAGCCTTGGATTATTTCATCACGTGGGAGTTAATTTTTAAATCCTGAAAACATTTACCTATCAATGAAAATCCAGAACGGTATTTCAAGTCACGGAAAAAATTAGATAACGTGCAAGTCAAGATGTAGTTTAACCTTATTATGAACTTCACGCAAGTAAAATTTGGTTGAATTTTATTGAAATTAAAAAAAAAAATTACTTGAAACATTTAAATTCGTCACATTCGGTGTCTAACATGATAGCAAAATACTTTGGTCACACTTTGAACAATCCTTCTCTCGCACCTCCGGAATATGACGTCATTTATATACGATCCTCCCCCCCCCCCCCCCCCCACCCTCACAGTATTAAAAAAAAATATTTCTTTGGTAAACGAGTGATTTAGTAAACACGAATAGAGGCCATGAACCAGAGGAGGCCTTTCGACTTATTAATCTTATAAAAGCAATGCTAATATTAGTCATTAAACTACATTCATCGAGTACAGAGAATTATCCTGTTAGCATCCCCCCCCCCCCCCACACACACATACAGTGTTTAATACTTTGCTTGCGGTTTTTGTTGTCAATGGGTAAAATCATTTAAATTGATACAAATTAGTTGACCTTACCAAACATGTTGCTATTTGAAACAGCACTAACTCAAATAGTCTTTATTGAGCGTTGAAATTGTCTAAATAATCGAAATCAGGGGTCGGCAACCTTTTGAAGCGGAAGAGCCAAAAGTTACAATTTTCAATATTTCCCTGGTTTTAAAGAGCCACTAACATTTTTTTTTTATTTCAAATATTTTATTTTTTATTAAGATTATTAGTATTTGTTCAAGGAGCTGGAGAGCCGCATCTTGATATCAAAAGAGCCGCATGATGCTCGCGAGCCGCAGGTTGCCGACCCCTGATATAGTTTAGAAAACCGTGGCGGTATGTAAACATTGATAAATTTAAATTCCTGTATCTTATGTAATCAGTTATTCTAGTTAATTAATGGTTGTATATAAAACTGGGTAAAAGTATTAATAAAATCAATACATAATAAAATCAGACAACATCAGAATATAACGCATTAATATTTACATTTTTGTATTTTATAATAAATGATGTAGCCTATAAAAATAATTTTACAAATGAATGTAATTATTTTTTTTTACCTTTTAAGAAAATATTTCTTAGTTGCCTACTATAATTATCTCAAGTGTACTAATGGGAAGTAACTTAAATAAATTTAAGATTATTTTGTTTTAAATTTTTACAATATAATTCGAATATAAAAGTTAAATAAAATATCGCGTTTAATGTTAAATACATGTAAGTAAACACAACCTAACCCTTAACGCCAACTGTCGCGAAGAAACTCCAAACTGGGTTCTTACACGTCGCCAACCTGACGTCGTCCGACCAGCTTACTGACATGTTTTCAAAACAATTTGATTTCTTGTGGTTTGTCTAGCTATGTATAACAAATCTAAGGAAACCAAGGATTAAATCTACAATCTATAAACAACTTCCACAACACAACACGATTCAAATTAAAATTGTAATGTGTCGAAACCAGCTCATTTAAAAAAATGTTCAAACGTTATGTGATTAATTAGCTCCACTTTGTTTTATTCTATGGTGTTGTAAGGTCGGTATCGAGAGATTTATCCGTTGTAGCACCTTTCCTGTTAGGCTGACAAAGCTTGTACAGAAGCCCTATCGAACCAGCTGTGAGGAATAGAAAGGATATCGATAACAGGGTTGTGTGGTATGTAAACACGTATACTACATTACACTTAGATTTAAAAAAATAAAACAACTATCTCAATCACATGATCCGAAACTTTAAACATTATTCCTGTTTTAAAATAAAAATGAACATTGTTTATTGAATATTTACATTTTGCATAAAAAACATTAGTTGCAAATTAGATTAGTTTTGTGTTTAAAGTAGGATTATTATAATAAACATGAACTGGTATATACATACACAGAGGCTTATACAGGATTTTGTGTTAGGGGGAGCAGCGAGTCGAGAAAAAGGCGCCATATATATATATATATATATATATATATATATATATATATATATATATATATATATATATATATATATATATATATATATATATATATATATATATATATATATATATATATACATATATAAAGGCCTATATATTTTATTTATTTTCTGTACTTATCATCTTTAAAAAAATAATAAAATAACACTAATGTTTGCAGTTTTGAGGCAGTTCAATTGCAAAATAATACGTGTTATTGGATTGATCTTTACTTAATTTGTAAAACCGTGTAAACAAAGATTAGATGCACACAGTGCCAGTTAAGAGAAGTATGAAAGAACAACAAATAACTGGCACCAAACATATCCTAGTTCGAGCTATTTCTTAAAATAGTGTAATCGTTTATGTATGTGGGCTAAAATATTGTTACTGAAATTAAGACGGCATTTAAATGCATACTATTAAGTTTGCACATTAACATTGCACATTCTGAACAAGTTAAAATAAGCGTCGTTAATTACGTTGTTTTTGTTTTTAATCACCATTTGAAATAGGACATGACCTACAATAGTTTACCGTTCGTGTTGATATACGTCAAGGGTATTTGGTCAAGGCGTTTGTTTCTCGTAGCGGGTGTGGGTGGTCTAGGGTTCAAATTTCAGATATCAGGTTTTGTGAATCATATTTAGAATAATAGGAATGTGATATTCTTTTCGCGGGGCAATTTTCTAGTGTAAATCTATCAAAGAGCAGTTCACCCGTCTGCTCCAGTGATTTCTGATACTTAACCCTGGTAACTTGATCTTGTCACTACATATAAAAGTAATGTTTGACTGCTTCTGTATCAATGCAGGATTAAAAAGAAATTAAACATATTTTCTCCTGACCAAAAATGTAATAAAAACATTGATTAGATGCATCTTTCTTTTATAAAAGAAATAATTATTTTATTTGCTTAATGCTTTCAATGTTCTGATAAAAATTCAGTATTTTAATACGAAAATAGTAAACTACATATTGTATACATTTTGACATATAAGTACATTTCAATTAATTTGTTTTAAAGTAGAAAAATAATTTACTTGTTTCTTTTAGATCAATTTATTGTAATTCTATTGTAAATCATCACAAAGTTGTCAGTTGTCTCCCTTAATTTTTCGACTACAAAATTGGAATGAAAATGTATTACTAAATATTTCTATTTTCAACATAAACATATGTTCTAAAGGTTTCAAATAATTATGCAATAAACTCTTAAACGCATTTGCAAACTGCCACTTCAAATTGGATGCATGCTTTTTTAATATCACAAAAGTATGAAGCAAAGCATTATTATATCCTGCCGCCTTTATTTCCTAACGAGAGTGATATCACTATATCCAGCCGCTCATGGTTAGGTACCCATTAAAGCTGGGTGGACTCAAGTCTGACTCGAACCTGGAATCGAACTCGAGACTAGTGCCCTAATGCTTGACCACGCCATCACTATACACTAATTTTTTTAAAAAAAGTAAAGATATTATTAGATAAAGTTAGAATAGCTGATACAATCGGATATGATTAGGATAATCTATGCATTATGATAGAATTAATATTTAAAGAAGAATCAATGTGACGTGTTTTTCTTTTACCCACACCTCCATCTAGTTTATATCCTGATGTAGATCTCCACTAACCACTTTAAATATCGTATACAACACAACAGCTAACCACTATACATATTTTATACAACACAACAGCTAATTACTTCAAATATTGTATGCAACACAACGGCTAACCACTTCAAATATTGTATAAAACACAACGGCTAACCACTTCAAATATTGTATACAACGCAACAGCTAACCAATTAAAATATTGTATACAACACAACAGCTAACCACTTCAAATATTTTATACAACACGGCAGCTAATTACTTCAAATATTGTATACAACACAACAGCTAACCACTTCAAATATTTTATACAACACAACAGCTAACCACTTTAAATATTTTATACAACACAACAGCTAACCACTTCAAATATTTTATACCACACGGCAGCTAACCACTTCAAATATTGTATACAACACAACGGCTAACCACTTCAAATATTGTATACAACACAACGGCTAACCACTTCAAATATTGTATACAACACAACAGCTAACCACTTAAAATATTTTATACAACACAACAGCTAACCACTTCTAAAATTTTATTCAACACAACTGCATGCAGATTGTACTGATCAATTGTATTTCCTTAGGTCTAGATTGGTTAAAAATTGAAAACGATGTAAACATGTAAATCCCAGTTTGATTAAAATACGAATATTATTTTTTTTGTTCAATATAA